GGAAAGAGATCTTAACCAACCCTCAGCAACCCCATGCGGCAAGTCCTATCGCGACCCCCGTCTCACAGACGAGAACAGAGGGGGCGTGAAAGCCCAGGGTCATGCAGCCTGGGGGGCGGGGGGTGCAGCCAGGACTCCATGGCCCGGAGGGCTCCCTGGCCCAGTTCCACTGCAAGCCAGTTCTTTCCCCGGCTGGCTCCTCACCACCCCTCCTCCCACCTCCCACACAAAGACCCACCTTCTTCTCGGGGTTGCTTAATTTGGACTTGACCTCCTTGGCTTTCTGAATTGCTTTTAGCACTTCCACCGTGTCCAACTCCTTCTCTGTGGTCACTGTGTTGTCCAGACAGACCTACAGTGTCCAGAAAATGGCTATCAGCATATGTGCTGGCAAGCATGGAGGGAGCAGAATGGCAGGGTCCCACCGAGGGGTGGGCCAGGCCCCGTGAGGACACAGAAGGCTGCAGAGGCCGAGCCTGCTGGGAGGTGAGCTCCTCGCCACCCATGGAAGCGACCTGGGAGCTCCTTGGAGTGGCCCAGGGAGGTCCCACACTGCCTAGCCCAGTTCTTGGAGTCCCTCTCCAGGAAAGGAAGGAAGGGCTGCAGGGGCCACTGCGAAGGCCTCTGGGGTGGCTGGGAGAGGGGGGGAAGCTGGTGCCTTGAACTAAGCCTCCAATTATGGCAGAACTCAGATCTGCAAAGAGCAAGGGGAGGGCCTTCTGGGCTGGGGAACTGGGAGGGCAAAGGCATGGGAAGGAGGCAGAAGGGCAGGGACGCCACCTGCAAGTGCAGGAGGGAGTTGTGGCCCAGCAGGCAGGCAGTGGGGAGCAGCAGTGTGGTCAAATGAGGGAAGGTCCCAAGGGCCTGGGAGCCAGGGAGGGGAGGAGGTGACATCTTGTGAATGTTGTCTCGGTGACGGTGTGGAGAAAGGTGCACTTGGGGCTGAAAAGAGATGGGAGGGGTTGGGGGGAGGATGCAAACAGACTCCCAGGTATCTTCCAGCCTGGGATTTGGGGAGACTGGAGGGAGCCTGCTTGAGGCTGAGGAGACAGGTGAACCTGGAGGCGGACCTGTTGGGCTGGCGGGGCAGCAGGCGGCCACTTGGCAGACAGCAGATGGGCTGGGTGACACTGGCCAAGGTGGGCAAACCCTTCAGGTTTATGGTCAGACTTTATGGCCAGAGGTTGTCCAGGAAATTATTTCAGATCTTATTCCTGACCCTTGTCTACAATGAACATTACTTTTTAACAAATTGAAGGCAGTCCCTCCACATTCAGGCTGTGCCTGTTGGTTCCTGGGGAGCACCCCGACCTGAAGCTCTGACAGAGGTGAGGGGAAGCCCACTGAGGAAGCACGGCAGCCAGTGGCCCCCAAGAGGAGATGCAGGAGGGAACCTTTTCCTGGGGAGGCAGTGGTCTTCCCAGATCTGAAAGGCCCCTCAGGGTCAGGACGGCCTTCTGAATCAGGCAAGTATACGTAAGCGGATGTCACCTCCAGCTGACCCCTCCCCGAGCAGCTTACCTCCGAGGCCCGCTCTCCGAACTGAGCCAGAACCTTGGTCCGGTAGTCAGGGATGATGCTCAGAGGGTTGTTCAGCAGAGCCACATGCTCCAGACACGGGAGGCTGCCGATGCTCCTGACCTCCTCCATCTGCAAGGCATTCCCGTGTCCCTTCTTTAACACTTCAGCAAGGTGACCACACACTTGACAGTCAAAGAAAGGAAGCCCACCATTCTCGCTAAAGTGATCAACGCCAAGGCACAGCCACTCCAGAACCCCAAGACCTTTCTGGGGCACAGCTCACCTGTTCGATTCTGTTGTCGCTGAGATCCAGGTTGACCAGGGAGTACAGCTTGTGCAGGCCACTCAGACTCCCCAGGAGGTTGCCTGCCAGGTTCAGAGTCTTGATGTTCCCCAATTTGGTGTGAACCCCTTCCAAGAAGGAGAGCTTGTTGTAGGACAGGTCCAGGTGCACGAGGTTGTACAGGTGCTGCAGCAGCATTGAGAACAGAGTAAAGTGGTTAAGGTCAAGGCTCCAAAGAAAGGGGACTGACATTAAGGGTGTGATGGGCCTTCCAACCTAAAATGACCAGTTCCTCTGACAGTTATTCCGAAGGGAAATCCCTCTTCCCTGCACAGGTTACAGCCCAGCTGCATCCCCCGCACGGGCAGCATGGCCCACAGGGTAGGCACAAGCTTTGAAAATGAGACTGTCTGTCTTCACAATGGAGGCACGTCATCTTCATCATGCTCGATTTGTATTTACACATCCTTTCTAATTTGGGGGAACTAGAGCAACAAACGCTCAGTGTGCATCATTTGGACCCAAAGGGAAGGGCAGTAGCCCCTGCCTTTACAAACCTCTGGTGCACGCAGACACCTTTCGAGGACCCATGAGAGAAACCCCAAAGTACGGCCAAACTCCCAAGGCTGCATCTCAGCAGAATGGGACCTTGTAAGAAGCCTGCAGGCAATGATGGTCTCCAAAGACACAAATTACCTGCAGATTGTCCACGACCAGCACTCCATTGTGACTCAGGTCCAGGAACTCAATCTTTGGAATCAGTTTCTTGTGAAAGAAAAGATAACACAAGACGTTATCCTAGGAAGCTGGACCCCACATGGCCCCTGGACATGGTGGACAGACAACTTGGGAGGCTTCCTCCTGACCACAGACTCCTGGGCTGGCCATCTGTGCGGGGCCCCTGACGTGACACCTCCCAGTGCCCACCCAGAAGCACGTCTTCAGGAACACATAACACAGGGACTCCAGTGCTGAGCACGACCCACTGTTTTTACGGAACACTTGGCTTGTAAAAATGACAAATGGGGCTTCCCTGGTGGCGCAGTGGTTGAGAGTCCACCTGCCGATGCAGGGGACATGGGTTCGTGCCCCAGTCCGGGAAGATCCCACATGCCGCGGAGCGGCTAGGCCCGTGAGCCATGGCTGCTGAGCCTGCACGTCCGGAGTCTGTGCTCCGCAACGGGAGAGGCCACAACAGTGAGAGGCCCGCGTACCGCAAAAAAAAAAAAAGACAAATGGCAAGGTTGCAGACAGAAGGAGGTGTGTCCTTCAACTCTACCCACACCCACTGAGAGGCACAAGTACAGGAATCACAGTCCTACTGCCCAAGTACCATCTGGATGTCACTCTTACATGGGGACATCTGGAACCTTTCTTTTTTTTGGTTGTGCCACGCGGCATGCGGGATCTTAGTTCCCCGACCAGGGATCAAACCCGTGCTCCCTGCAGTGGAAGTGCAGATTCTTAACCACTGGACCACCAGGGAAGTCCCTGAAACCTACAGACTGATTTTTCTGCTACACTCCTTGGGAATAAATTTCACCACTTACTGTGTTTCTGTTCTATCAAATGTACATGCAATTAATACACTTCATTTGGTTCTAAGCACTCCTCACCTCGTTTAAATAACCCCATTTTGAAATTAACTTAAAAATTACAGGTAATGTACAGAGTGCTGGGTACAGGTTTTCGGTGGTCCTTCTAGAAAAAGCCAGGTTAAATATCCAACCCCAGGGTCTGGTCAGGCCGTGGAGAGCGTACCACAGACTCATCGATCTCAGAGATGCTGTTGTGACTCAAGTCCAGAGCGGTCAGCGCCTGCCACATGGGGATGATGGCAGTCACAGTGCCCTCCAGGGCTGCGCCTGCTGGTTCCCACTCATCAAATTCTGAGGCTTCAGGAACGAGGACTTCCTGTGTAAGAACATCTGGTGAACACCACACGTGGGCCCTCATGCAACACTGACTGGGAACACAATCGTTGCAAAATTTCAGGAAGGGCTGGAGCATATTTAGTATGTGGAAGTGAACTTGCATCAAAATGGGGCTTTTGGTTCATATGCCTTGAAATGATTGTGAAATAACTGAAGAGTTCAGAAACATAACAGCCACTTGGAATATGTTCTGGCCCTACTTGAGCAAATGCTTTTCCAGCTCCAAAGAGCTTCGTTATATGGTGATGCCTTTTCTGGCTTAAATCTCAGAGACTGAAGGTCAGAATTTGCAGTGTTCCCAGCCAACTGTGCTTTACAAGCTGGCACTGTGGTCCCCGTGGTGGACAGTAGGCCCTTTAACCATTACTTTACAAGGTAAAATCCAGCAGACCTGAGACAGGGGAGCAGCACAGAGCACAGGGGCACCATCCAAGGGGAGGGAGGCAGGCAGGCCTCCTCGTTTTGATTTCTGATGCCCTTTGAGAAGACCTCTCCTCTTTCAATGGATCATCTTGGGGTCCTTGAGCCAGGCAGCAGGGAGTGCCTCCCAGAGGGGCAAGGCTGCCTGACACAAGCCTCCTCCTTTCAGCCAGTAGCCTCAACACAAAGACTTTTCACCAAACCCAAATCTTGATCAGACACTCTAAGTTCTAAAAGTGCCAAAATGTTTCTTTCTAGAAGAATTTTAACATTACTAAATGCAACCCATAAAAAGAGAGAACTCTTACACTCTCAGTTTGCATATTTGTGTCACTCACATACAAACAACAGGGCCCAGCATACACAACTTGGCCTGTCTACTCAAGTCCACTGAGAACAAGATACGAACGAGTGCCACACGAAGGCTTTTCGTGTTTAGAGAAACATTTCTATCAGTCCACATAATAAATGTTCTGACGCTTGCCGCTGCTCAACAATTTAATTCAACAATATTAAAAAAAACAGTGGCTTTTTCCATGGGGAGGGGTTACCCAGTTCCTTAAAATCTCTCGTTTAACAGTGTTGATTTTGGACTGAAGTGTCCCAGGGACCGTCGAGCACTGGGAGGTCCCACATGAGTGTGCGGCTGACCAGAGGAAGTCTGGCTTCTGGCTCCTGACAGATGGCAGCAGAGTTCGCATGATCCTCCATGGGGAGACCATAGTGCAGGACCCTGCCCCTCAGACAGCACCCTGGGCGGTAACAGGTTGCAATTACCTTCATGGAAGTTGCTGAGAAGCGGACACTCATCGTGGCCAAGGTGGGCTTGGACGCGACCAGTCCCCGGATGCACTTGGCATCACAGTGACTTATCTGGAACAAGAACAGCTACGTCTCAGAAGCGGCATCACTGCTCCACCAGAAGTCCCGGGAAGTGGGTGTTCATCACCCACACACAAAAGGAGCACAACCATCGGTGACCCCGAATCCTTCGAGACAGGCGGTGACTTAAACCCTAAGCCTCTCCTTTCCTCAATTTTTAGTGTTAACTAAACATTCTCTGAAGTAGCTTACGAGATAATGAACCACGAACTCCATTTTCTCTGAAGGGCTGCTTGGGGCTTGGCAGCTGGACACAAAGTGAGGGCCAGGGACACCAGAGCTGGAGAGCCGATGACTTCACCGGCCTCGCTTCACTGGCCTCAGCGGCCCTGCAGGAGGAGGGAGGGGTACAGGCCAAAGCACCCTCCCTCAAGCCACCTGCCCAAGTGCTACACACCCCACCCGGCAGAGCCTCAGCCTGCCCAGCCAGGCACTCCTCTCACTTCCCAGCCCCACTCACCTGTGCTGATCGAGGCACAAATGCCCATCAAGGGAATGGCCCTCAAGGTCTCTGAGACAATTCCAGCACATTGCAGAGCCACACTCAGCTGAACTCAGATCCCAGCTTCCCCCTCGTTAACTGTGTGATCCTGGCCAAACTTCCTTACCTCCCTAAGCCTCAGTTTCCTCAACTGTAAAATGGGAATACAAGTGCCCACTTCACATGGTTGAGAAGATTCCATCAAGGAGTGAACATCAGACATGGGGCACAGGGCCGAACACAAAAGCACTGATTTCTCATTGCTGAGATGAGAAATTTTTTATTATTCATTACTGAGTCCCCTCTCATTTATTTAAAAAGTGGTAACAAAATTGGCATTGTGAACCCAGGAGTTTAGCAGTGAGTAATGCAAAGTATTTCTTGTTAGGTGTAGGCATGCCAGAGAGCAGAGGACCCTCCAAACCCTCTGCTGATCTGCCTTGGGAGACAAAGACTTGGAATTGGCTCTGCCTGACCCTCAGGATGGCTTCCCAGCACCTCAACTCGCACAATGAGGAAGCCCAGAAGGAGCTGGGCACTAGTGCTCCATCCTGTCCAAATGCTGCAGGGGTGGGGACATGGAGACCAGCCAAGAATAACAGAAGCCCCTCTTTCTCCGCCTTCAGATGGGCCTAACTTACCTAAATGGAATCTGCCACATACTGACAAACACAAAAGCAACAGTGCCTGACAATTAAATCCAGACATCCAACATTGGGAACACTCTGTAGCCAAAGATAGGATGGTCAGAATGCAAGACCATCCTGCACAGGGCTCAGCCCCGCCTGCATTCCAGGGGCCCTGGGCCTTACCTCCACCTGATGAAGAGACTTGAATATTGACAGATCAAAAGGCAGGAGCTGCTCCTGAATGTTGCTGGTCCCAAAAGGTCCTTCTGTGCCAGAAACCTACAGCCAAATAAATGGCTTGAATTAGAGATGCTGCTGTAACAACCACTTCCCATCCATGTTCACAGGGCGGTGCTACAGCAACTACCAAACCGCACTCGAAGCTTCGCCTGGCTCTGAGAGGCAGGCTGGGCATGTACTCCCACTCACCACTTCCACGGTCAACAAAGCAGGCTAAAGTGGAGGTTTAAAGCGAGGGGCCGTTGGTTCACGACTGCCCCCTGGTGCTCACAGCTGAAAGCACAGTGCCAAGATCACCAAATGCAGCCTTCCTTCCCTCAGGGCCCACGGAGTCTCCACATACCCATACTGCCAGGCTAGGAGGTGCATGCCCACGACTGAGTAGCTCTCCCCGACCAAGCTGCCCCATCTTTACCTTAAGGTACTTAAGGCGACAGGTGAAGTCCAGGATGTGCCCCAGGTCAGTCTTGGCATCCCCGCTGGCACACGTGGGCTTTCCCTGCTGCAGCTGCTCGGTGACCGCGTACAGCTGCAGGGGCCTGATGGCAAAGACCTCGCCGGCCCCCAGGAGCTGTTCTCCTGCAACAGCCATAGCCCGTGGGGTGAGCACTGAGCCCCAGCCCCAGCCCCACTGTGTGGCCAGGGCACCGGCACACCTGGCCAACAGTGGACAAGCACTTGGCCAGCACCCATCAGATGCACCGAGTCAGGAGGAAGCCATGGTCCTGAGAATGCAGGAGCGGCCCCCCTCCTGAGCTGACTGCATGCAGGGGAGACCCAGGACACGTGATTACAAAGGAGGGAAGAGCCACGGGAATTTGCAGCTGGGGAACCTCCCTGAGTTAAAAATCTGAGGCACTGGGCCAGGAAAAAGCTGATGCAGGCAGCATTGTGGGCATCGGGCCCACGCTGCAACCTCCAAGATGCAGGTGTCTTAACGTTAGGTGAGGTCTAAGGTGCCAGCACAGTACAGGGTCTGAGAGCAGGAGGGGGTTCTGAGCCAAGCCAGACAGACTGGCATTTGGTCCTCATTTTGCTCCTTCCAACCATGTTCCTTCCAACCATGTTACCTGCCTTCAGGCAGGTAACTGGGCCTCTTATCCTCAATGTCCTTCTCTGGCCCTCCTGCGGGGAGGCAGTAAGATACAAACGCAAGGCTAGACCACAAGCACTCTTTACATCTTAGCTACTGTTACTGTGCTCTCTGGCAGGGCCGCGACCCTAAGTCAGCTTCTGTTTGCCGTCGGAATCTTTTTAGGCAAGGACAGACCCGGTGCAAAGGGCAGCATGCCACCCACCTTCCAGAACTCCACCATAAGGCCCTGGAATATACCCTGAGCCTGGGATTGGCCCCCGACACAGGGACCCGGGGGTCCTAAGGTGAAGAATACAGCTCCTCAGACCTGCAGAACAGGTAGGTGGGCAGGCCTGGCTGTGGACGAGGTCCAGGGATTTGAGCAACCCCAGGGAGGTGGGCCCTGGTTAGGACTCACTTGGCACAGAGCAACTGATGGAGTTCTGTGCCACCCAGGGCCCCTGGCTGCCTAACAGGGCTGGGCAAGTTGCACCCAGTATTTCAAGGACCCCTGGTCATATACCTTTTTCAAAGAGTTCCTCAGCCAGTGCTGCAGTGATGCCATTAATCTCCTGCAGAGAAAACAAAACCCACAGTCAGGAAATCCACCTGCTCCCAGTCACTGGGACTTGCACATTCCCTGCTATCGACCCCCTCTGCTGTTGCAATGCCAGCTCTCCAGAAAGTAAAACAAAATGGAGAGAATAAACTAAAATGAATCAAAGAGCTCAGAAAGGTAAACAATATTTCCAGCTAAAGGGACATTTGAAATGTCTCCTCCAAAGGAGAACCGAATAGACTAACACTGCAACTCCAAGGCCACTCAGGCACTGGCTGAGAACACCAGGCCCGGGAGGCTGTAAAGCTTGGCCATGTCAACAGCTGGCTGGGAAGCCAGCAGCTCCCCAGACTGGCCCTGGAGGATTCCTAGGAGACGCACGGTAGAGAGACAGTCCTGTTTCTTCTCGAAAAGAGGCTCCCATCACCCTGCTGGGAAAAAGGGCCTCCCAGAGATAACCCTGCCTGAGAGGGACCATTTCTACTGACATTCATGTCCCACAGGTGCCTTAGGAAAGAGAAAGCGCCCACTCTCTTCCTGTGCCCATCCCTTCAAGCCCTGCACCAGCACCACTCAGCCCAGGGTCATGAGAAAGAGGCATGAAAGGATTTCCTTTTAGAGTGATGGGATAAAGGAGGCACGACAAGGACAAGGCTTCAGTCATAGTAAACAGCTAACATGCTGGGGTCCTAATTCACACCGGGCGATGGCCTGAGTACTCCCCACCCAGAGGTTTGCTCAGTCCTCCCAATGCCCTAGGCCAGGAGGCCCTTATTTTGAATCCTGTTTCACAGGTAAGCAAACTGAGATGAGCAGGTGCTGTAGTTCTCAATTTTACATGACTAGAAACTAGCAGAGCCCCACTCCCAAGCACTTGGTCTTGAATCCTCTCTGTTCACAACCAATTGCCTCAGCATTTCAGTGGTGTAGCCGTGGGGTTGGCAGGGCCCTGGGGCCCGCAGCCCCACATCGTGCAGGCAAGAACTGTTAACTAATTGACAGATGGCAGCCAAACGGACTTTCATAAACAGGTCCAGATGGAGGCTGCACAATCGCCTTTGTAACTCACAGGAACACCTCTGCCACCAGGACAAGCAATTCACGTGTTTACCGGACTCAAAAGGTACCAGGTTGCAGGAGACACGATGTCCTTTTCCTGTTTTTCTCTTGGTTGCTCGTCTCTTCCTTACCTTTTATACATAAAGGATACTCTACATGTTGTTTATGTGCTGCAAATATCTTCTTCTTGTCTGTGTATGCCTTTTACCTACACTCACCCTGTTTCTCCTGACAGAGAGAGGTTTGGCAAGTTCATGTTTTTAAACCTGTGATTCTTTTCCTTTGTCATTTCTGGAAACTCTTCCCCCATCTCAAGATTATAAAACATTCCCCTAATTTCTCCTTTTAGTATTTTAAGGTATTTGTTAAAAATAAAATGCGTGTATTTCATCTGCTTGAAATTCAATTTATATATAATATGAGAATAACTTCCCCTTATTCTCACACATGAACAAAAAGCCAAAGGGAGAAAAATAAGCAAACACAGCTCCAGCGTTAAGGGGCTCAGAGTCTGGCAAGACACAGGGTCAAATGTAAAATGGCCACCAGAGGGGCGGAGCAGGCTCTGAGCAGGAGAGGCTCCAGCCAGTGAGAGGAGAAGGCATCAGTTCACTGCGAAGTTCAACTTCACTCTCTCGCAACAACTCAGTTACCTTTTCCTTGGCTGCTGTGAAGAACCGAAGATCAGTAAGACCTAGGAACGACCCAAAGGCTCATTTCTCTACCTCCACCTTTGAGAACCAAGCCCTGTCTTCAGATCAGCACCTCCCCATCCTGCCTGTAGTCAGAACGCCTGGACAGCCTTAAAAGATACAGATTCCTGAGCGGCTCCCAGAGGCCTGATCCGCACCCACCTCCAATCCCCAAGAGCAGCTGCCCAGCCTCTCCAGCCCCTTATTGACACTAGGCTCCTAGAAGGTCTCACGTGGGAAAAGGGTTCCCTGTCCACCCTTAGTGCCCAACAACCCTCACCCTCAAAGTTACACTTCTCCAGGCAGCTGCCGTCAACACCAGCCCTGCTGGGATTTCCAGAGACACAGAAAGCCCGGAGACAGTGAGAGCCAAGGGCTCATGCTAAGCAAAGAACATGTTTCCACTTCTGAACAATCTAAAAAGCAGACTATGTAACGATTTCTTTCCCTGCTCTTGGGCCAGAGGAAGTGTGCCCTGTGGCAACGCTGTCTAGTTTCCCAGGCTGACCTTCCTCGCCTTGGGAGACCCTTAATCAAAGAGGAACAAAGAAATGCCTCAGCCCACAAATCTAGAGCACAGGTATCTTCAGAGAAGCATGTTCTCTGCCTCCTCAGGGTGCTCTGGCTGAACTGTGGCCTTGTGCGCAAAGGTGAGCAGCCCCTTGCCAGGAGGAAATGGGGTTGGGGGGGGCAGTGGGCCCCAGTCTAAGCTCCTGTAGATTCTGCTCAGAGGTCACCTGTGGGAACAGGTAACCCCACCCACACCCCACCCAATCCTGCTG